ACGTTCGATAAAGCTGGACCACCCCTTAAACCAATAAATTGTTCTTGTTGTTGGAAATTTGAGGGTTGATGAAATGAATCTTGATTTAAAGACAAATTTTTAGGGGAATAAGGTTCTTGTGTTGCAAGAAATTCCAAGTACTCTACCGGATTTTGATTATTATTACTAAAATGGTCGAGATAATCAACTTCGTCAGTGGTATATGCAATTCCCATTTCCCCTTCCCTATCATCGACATTTCGTGATGTGATTGACTCTTCCCGTTGATTATTAGACATTATTTGATGAACCTAAATGGTAATGTTGGGGTTAAACCTGATTTTAAATGGGTTCTTTGTCCGATGATTTCATGAACGTGCAAAACCGCAGTTTTTTTTTATGTTCTCTTTTTTTAATACAAGTCTTTGCAGTATCATTTATTCTTTAAAGTTATAGGCTTTTATATAGTATGTTTATTTACATAAAATTAAAAAGTTCTTGCAACGAAAAGAGTCTTTCTAAAAATTTTTTTAAAAAGAAAAAAAAAAAAAGAAAAAAGAACTACGAGAATAGGATGGACAAAATAGAAAAAAAAAAGGAAATGAGAACTAGGTTTTAATTAAATAGATGTGACATATTGATTAGGCGACCTAACTTACAGATGTAGATCAGTGTTAAATTTTAATCAAATTTCATTTGTAAATAACAAAAATAATATAAAAAATTACCGTTTGTCTTACAAATAAGACTAATTTTTCGCAGTGAAATGGTTGAACAAATTCTGTCATCGTTTGTATCACAAACCATTATGTATTTTATAAGGAGGTTCGGCCTCCTTAAAATAATAAATTGATAAATAAATACAGCCTTTGGAAGAAAAAAGCTTGATTTTAATTATGAACACTTGAAATAGTAGTCCCAATATTGGCTTGTATATAAAGATTGCTTTTCCAACCTTCGGGCCAGAATTCCATCGGAGATCTTAATTCCGGGTTATTATTTGTTATACAAACATATACACATCATTTGGAAAAGTATTAATGTATTATGCATGATGCATTGTATGCATTAGAATCACGTGATATCGGCCGTTACTTTGTAACTTTCTTTTTTTGAAGGGTCTTTCATAGTCCATTTAAAATTTGGTAACCATTGATTTCTGCGCTAAACCATGTTTATCACAAACAATCATATTACCAAACACGTAAAAGAAAACCAAGAAAGGATAAAAAAAAAAGGCACGGTTCTTTTGAGGTGAAAATAAACGATTGGAGTGAAAGTTTCCAAATCATTTACCTTTTTATTTCTTTATCTTCCTTTTGTAGATAAATTAAAACCAGATTAACAAAACGCATATAAAAGGAAATTAACTGCTAACATAATCATATGAATCTTATCGTGAAATTTTACATTTTTCATATATTCATTATGATATGATTTACACAAGTCAAATGACATTCAACCCCGCATTTCTATTTTAAGTTTAAGTTGAGCATATGACCCACTTACTTATGTATAATAATTCTCAGGAAAGCATGATACTGACCAATATTACCATATTTAACAAACAATTCCGTCATTTTTTCAAATGTTTTTAAAAAAGTTTCAATTCTCTTTTACTTTATTTTATTTTCCCAAACTTTTTTTTTTTTTTGAAAAAAAAAAAGCAAAAATTGTTGATATACCCGTATTATATATTATTCATATGATATAACTTTCACGTAACCTTTCTTGAAAAAAGATAATTTTTTGAAACATGTTTAAAAATAGTTTGTTTAGTTCGTTTAAGAGTGGTGGTGAAAATTCGAATAGTTCGTCTAATGTGCAAAAAGACGCTATTCTCGAGCAGTTGGTCGCTTTATTTCCCAATGCAGGTTTGATTATTAAATAAGTGATGTTTTTCTTTCCTTTTCCTTTTTTTTTCTTAAAAAAAAAAAAGTGTTTCTTTTCCTAGTCATTCAACACCTTTTCCATTTTCTTTCCATTTTTTAAATAGATCAAGAATATTTAAAATACTGTATTGGGTGTTATCAAGATAATCATGTGGAAAGAATTAGTGAAAAAATATTTAATCAAAATAAGGGACATTATCCAAAGATACCTGACGGTTGTAAGGCTGCAAATTGCACAAAAGCGAAAAACGCCTTTTTATTACAAATTAATGAATTGTTCCCAGAGTGCGATGTGGGATTTTTAAGAGACAAACTATGTAATGTAAATCATAGCCATTTGCAACAAATTATCGAACAATTATTAAATATGGAGAAAACAGCTGATAAAGGTGGATATCCTCGTAGAATGAATCCATTTACTATTGAACCTTGGGAGTTAATAAGATCACCAAGTTATAGGAAGGCTGTTAGATACAAATTATATAATGATTTTCCTGATACTTGGCGCTCCACTATAAAAGCTGTATTGGCGGAAAATAATTTTGATTATAAAAAAAGTTTAGAAAAGTTAAAAGAGTTAGCAACAAATAATTGGTGGAATTCATTATTTAGTGTATTCCGTAGAAAATTATACAAAGAAGTTGAAAATATTGAATTAATGGAAGAAATACAAAAATAGAAAAGCGGGGTTGAATGTCATTTGACTTGTGTCAATCATATCATAATGAATATACGAAAAATGTAAAATTTCA